GTATGACAAGATGACAACATTCGAAATCATGAATGTTAACATCAAGCTCTGTATGGTTCATGATTTATGTATTCTTACAACTGTAAATATTTCATCAATAAATCTAAATATGTTCTTAACGACCTCTACCGTTTTGAATTGATAATGACAGCTTAAATGTATAAGATAAGATCATTTATTCTGGTAAGCGATTGGTAAATATGAAACTTTGTTTTGACGGAGCCTGGCAACTAAATAAATAGTCAATGAAATACATCTAGACTGAAAGACAGTTGAACAGTTCAGGTGCAAGAGTTTCTCTCTTTACGTTGTTCAACGAACGGTTTACACTGATAAATCTTGGTTTTGTTCAGTGCTGGAACATTCGGTTAGGTATACTTTTTGTATAAGAAATAAGACAACCCCATTATATTGATGAATATAGCCTTTACAACAGAGTGGCGTGTTACCTCCCATTTCATTTACAAAATTGATCCATTAAAACCCTTGCCTATTTTAGCATCCAGTAGTGTATGTAGATTAAGTATTAAAGATAATCGGTTTTACGAAATCATTTCAATATAACTGTATTAAATATATTTTTTCATCCATATCCTCCACGTATTTTCAGTCGGATTCTAACGTTGTCTGACTAGTTCCTCATAAAACCAGTCCATTCGGCATCGATATTTTCGATCCAAATATTTTGAAAATTTAAATGAACACTGTAAGTAAATTAAAAGTTATCCTATCCCCTTACTTCTGAACCGTACCCACAAAAAGGTGTAACAATAGATTGAAAAAATGAAATAAAGTAATTTCGAGGTTGATCAATGTATCTTGCTCTACCCAGTAGACAAAACACAGTTTTCTAGGCATCAAAGACAATCGACGTAACTGTGCTAATCTAGATTCGATTTTCATGAAACGTTATGCCGAGATGAAAATTAGCTAAAATGAAGAGCAAACGTTACTAAACTAAAATGTTGACACATTTGGGATGAACCCCGTATCGTTTGAAGATAAAAAGGTTGAAAATCAATCGTCCAAACACTAAAATAATTTACTGGGTAAATCACGTGCTTAAGTGCCCAGGTCAGTGTAGTATGAGTTTGGAAAGTGGAAATGGTGTTGCGCGTGCAGCATACCAACCATCAAAGATACGGGTGTCAAAGTAAAGATGATGTGTTCGGTTACATTTGGACGGTGATAAGTGAGTGAGTATGCTTTACGCCGCCTTTAGCAATGATTCAACCGAAATCACGACGGGGGACTCCAGAAATAGGCTTCACGCATTGTACCCATGTGAGAAATCAAACCCGGATCTTCGAGTGACGAGCGAATGCCAAGGTTAACATTTAAACAGAGTGAACAAGCCGTCCTTATGATACGTCATTGAGAATCGCTTGACCTCGTAGCAATGGGTTTTGGCTGCAGCTGAAAGACAGTTACCAGGCTCATGGCCCCTTACAGGGAGACTGGGCAAACGGGGCACCTCCTATGGGTGGCAGACATCCTGCCACCAAAGGATCTCCTTAACCACTAGGCTACTCCACTGCGAAAGGAAATGCCAAGGCTAACATTACAACAGAGTGAACAAGCCGTTCTTATGATACGTCTTTGAGAATAGCTTGACCTCGTAGCAATGGGGTTTGGCTGCAACTGAATGACAGTCACCAGGCTCATGGCCCCTTACAGGGAGACTGGGCAGACGGGGCACCTCCTGTCACCACCCCTAGGAAGACTGCTACTTATATATTCTCCTTCTGAGGAATCGGTTTCCTAAGGTGACGTCATCAGAGCCGGCTGGCATTGGCAACCATTTCAGTCTTTGAACAGCGCCTAGAAGATTGCCTCGGTACATTTATCAGCGCTCACAGTGGACTGAGTGAGTATGGTTTTACGCCGCTTTTAGCAATATTCCAGCAATATCAAGGCGGGAGACATCAGAAATGGGCTTCACACATTGTACCCATGTGGGGAATGGTAGCCGGATTTTCGGCGTATCGAGTGAATGATTTAACCACTAGGCTGCCACAACGCTCTCAGCGCTTCCAGTTCACGATGAGGTGTAATGCTGACATCGTAATATCATCGTCAAAGACATCGACGAGCTTGGTCACTGCGAGACAGGTAGATCAGAAATAGGAATAGAGCCATTTTCAGACGACAGCAGATTTCAGTTTCTCAGAGCAGAGGGGGGAGTCTGTGTCTAACTCCAACGACTGTGCACGATGTTTGGACTTGGCGGTTTTACAGTTTGGATTAGCATTTATAGGCGCGTCTAGACAAATGTGCTGATTTTGACAAGAAATGTCACAGGACAGCATCACACCGAACGCTTTCTTTGTCTATTTGTCATACCATTCCTACAACAGACATCCCAAGACCCTGTTTCAGAAGGAAAAAGCAATACCTTTTGCAGCACGTCTTGTAATAGATTCCATGAAAACCAGTAACGTCTGGTTTTCGCGAGCAGCACCACCAGATTTGTCGTTGAACTTTGGTGGGATTCTTTTGATTTTCGAATTATATCACGACCAGTTTGTCCTTGTAACAGGATCAACAGATAAAATCGAGGTAACTGTGCTAATCTAGATTCTTTTTCCATGAAAAGTTATGCCGAGATGGAAATTAGCTAAACTGACGAGCGAAAAGTTTACTAAAATGAAATTGTGACACATTTTGGTTGAACCTCGTACAGTATGGAGGCAAGAAAGTTGACAATCAATCGCCCAAGCACAACTAAATCAATGTACTTGGTAAAGCACGTGCTTAAGTGCCCACGTCAGTGGAGTATGAGTTTGGAAAGTGGAAATGGTGTTGCACGTGCTGCACGCCAACCATCAAAGATACGGGTGTAATACGGATGTAAAGATGTAGTCATCGTTCATATCTTAGAACGTTGGACAGTGACATATGCGTGGAGTGAGAATGTTTCTACTCCGCCTTTAACAATTGTTCCAGCAAAATCACGACGAGAGACACGTGAAGACAAATGTAGAGATTTTGAAAGGAAATGTCAAAAGACATCACATCGACCAAGGCCCTGTTGTTCCACCATTCTTGAAGCAGACCCCCGGGCCCTGTTTCAGCAGGACATTGTTAGGTCTTTTGCAGCACGTCTTGTTAGAGGTACCATGGAAACCAGAAATGTTAACGTCTGGCTTTCGCTAGCACCATCACCAGACTTGCTCTTGAACTCTAGTGGTGGTAATCTTGATCGTAAAATATGATCACAGTTAGTTCGTCCATGTTGAAGGATCAGTTAGCAAACGATCTCCAAAAAGATATGGTGTCGAGTCTTGTTTCTTGTCATCTTTTCTCATCCCTTGCCCGTCGTCAAGTGAGGGTGTGTATTGATGCCTATAGCAGACATAAACACTATTGACTGGCAGGTATGACATTCTGAAGGGTTAAAGGGAGTTTGAGGTCCATGATTTCCTCCTTGATGGTTGATCGATTACTGAACAACTGACCCTATTCTCGAACCTGCTAACAAAACATTATCTTCTCATTCAGGATATAACTGAATTCATAGTTTTTACAGAACTGAGACAATCGTCCTTGGTATTGGCCCTGTCTTTTCAGTACAAATCCTGTGGGTTTCTTCTGCGCGTCAGTATATCTACTGTCTTAATGTGCCTCCCATCAAACTGAAACTGAGGCTTGAGGTAAGTCTTATAAGTACCGCTGCAAAATATATTTTGCTTTTGAAATGTCAAAGCAAAACATTTAACATAATGTTCATTTAGTGCAGTATCTTTCATACGCATTTTCTGTTCACCGGTTGGGTTATGCTACAATACAGGTGATAAACGCTTTCCATTGCTCTAAGTTGATATTTCATTTGATATGATAACAATTGATTTAATGCCGCTGTGCCGGCTTTTGTTAAAGAAAGAAATTTATCCCTGGGGCCAGTTTTCAAGAATTTGCGACAAAGATCTATTATCCACACTTTATCAAAAGCCTTGTGAAATCTATAAATGAACAATACATTTTTGTTTACTCTTCTTCAGCCGCTTCATCAACATATTGATGGTGATTGTTGTCTTTAGTGGTGTGAAAAACAGACTAAATTCATCTTGCGTGGGGGTACTGGATGTTGGTTGCGAAGCATTCACGGTTTTTTGAGAGAGAGGGTTTTCAGCAGGTGGGAGCCGGGTTGACAGGTTGCAGAATGCTGGTGGGGTTTTGGGTAGGGTAAGGAAGCGGGTTACAATACAACTGCATTCACGGTTTTGTGAGAGTGGGGGGTTCAGCAGGGGGAGCCTGTGAGAGCCGGGTTTGGATAATGCTGGTGGGGTGTTGGGTGCGCGAGGGATTTGCTAAGGAGTTCTTATGGAATAGTTTTGCTAGTGTACCTGATCGTTTTGAGGATGTTAGGGATCGCAATGCTTGTGATTAATCCTCGTTTGGATGGTGTCACATCACAGTTGGCACACCGTTTAGGTGTATTATGAACCATGAGTGAGTCAGTGAATGAACGAGTATGTTTTTACACCGCTGTTAGTAATATTCCAGCAATATGAGGGCGGGGTACACCAGAAATGGGCTTCACACATTGTACCCGTGCTCTCTAGTGTGTGTTTGGAATACGAACAAACGCACACACACACACGTAAACACATACACAAACGTGCGCCAGCATGGACATACACACGCTCACACACAAACATGTGATCTCCCCGCTCTCTCACTCTCACTCTCCTATCTCTGTTTTCTCTCCTCTCTCTCTCTCTCTCTCTCTCTCTCTCTCTCTCTCTCTCTCTCTCTCTCTCTCTCTCTCTCTCTCTCTCTCTCTCTCTCTCTCTCTCTCTCTCTCTCTCTCTCTCAAAATCTCTTCTCTCTCTCTCTCTCTCTCTCTCTCTCTCTCTCTCTCACATCTCTCTTCAGAGCAACCACAAACAATCCAAATGATTTATACACCAATCTCCGTCAGCTTGCTCACATAGTTTTCAGAGCAAACACATCCAGACGTGCGTGCTGCCTAAAGAACATACGCAGCAGCAACAGTGAATGAGCTGTGTCATACTGGCCACGTTCATAGAAGACAGGCCATAGAATATTCTATATCATTACATACACGATTGGTGATTGGACAACTGATGACAAACAGCTTAGTTTGGCTATCGATCCGCCGTTGACAGGCAGCAGGTTACAGATAGATCCCAACAGTTATCATAACCAGAAGCCCCGCACAACACGGATAATATTGAAGCGGTTTACCCAGTAGTGCTAGGTGAGTATACGAGGTTTTCACTTATACGTTGATCTGTCGGTTCGCCATAGGGTAACATTGGCGTAGATGCATAAATAGAAAGAATCTGAACTGCCTTTTATTTACTTTTCAGAATAATTTTAATGTAATAAGAAATTTGGAAAACAATCCTGGGGTTAATTTCACCACCCTTTCTTCGTGTTGTGAATTTAATTATAGTTATTTTAATACCAAGTCAATTGGTTGTTGTATTTTAAACAGCAGTTTCAACCTTTGGTGTCTGTTTCACCAACGTTGGGGATACAATCGAGTGAGCTGTTTCTGTGAAGATTTCAAAGAGCGTCATTCGACTCTTGCGCGAAGGTTGTTTTACCAGAATTTCAACATTTAAGGTTTTAATTAACCTTTCGAAGAGTTTTGTGGTAGACATTTCCAAATGTGTCGAATTAGCGACATAAATTATTGCCTATTTTGACTTGTACCATTTGTTTCAATGTTGTTTTTCAGAATCACTTTGAATTGACGATGTAATGGTACTGTCGACTGTGCTTTGAATACACATTTCTTAGGATTATAGAAACTTGTGGTTAGTCGCTAATATTCTAAAGGTTTGGGTGTCAATAATCATTTCAAACCTGTCCAAGCGATGGATAACGTTAACACGTAGTGCCACTTCTATTTCACATGAACAAGGTTTTGCGCAAACAAAGTTTACAGGTTCGTGAAATTGCATAAATTTAAACGACCTGGCTAACCTTAACATAAACGTACGGTTGCCAGCTTAATAAATTAGTGTACATGTGTCATAATACACGAATGCAGTGAAGGGATGCTCACAATATCAATCACTGGTTTGTTTCGTTACATGAATTTCGTCTAAAGTTACCACTGGTGTTCAGGAAAGACATGTCAAATATAACGCGATCTTTGTCTTGTGTTGTTGGGTTTGTTTGTTTGTTGTTGTTGTTTTTTGTTTTGTTTTTTTGGGGGGTGTTTATTTTTTTATTTTTTTTATTTTTTTGGGGGATTTGTTTTGTTTTTTTTTTTTTTATTTGTTTTGTTTTGTTGGGTTTGTTTTGTTTTGCTTTGATTTTATTTGTTGTTTTGTTTTATTTAATTTTACTATGTTTTGTTTTGTTTTGCTTGTTTATTTGTTTGTTTCGTTTTGGCTGGTTGTGTATGCTTAGATTTTAAATTTCAAATGAGGGCGTGTGAAGAGACGGGATGGTATGAGTAATTCATAGATCCAACTTAACTCCTCTTCTGTGCTGCCTTCAACTGTGGGACACCTGACCGATTTGTGGACAAAAGATTTACGACTCCATAGAAAATACAACGTTGGTGTTGATTAATACTTCACCACCGTCGCTTTACTGACACGCTGCGTCAAGGTAAACCAACAGCGAGCAGCGCTGTGGTCCAGTTTACGACATTAAACATGAAATGTAATCCCTGACGCGCGGTCTTCTATCAACCGTGTTGAAACACATTCACACATGGCTGAGTATACATAAAGGTCACGTAGGAGACCAACGCCCACTTGCAAGAAGCGGCCTTAGCTCTACGACTACCGTAAGTCCGTTGTGGTTACGGACTAAGTAGTACTAGGATTCCTTTTTTGGGACGGGAGTGCAATCGTTTCTGGAATTCAATTTCTTAGATTGCTGCTTTTGAAAACGAAGTGCAAAACTATTGCAGACATTTATTAAGCTATGAAAACTACATACCGCGCCCATTCTTTGTCCACTTTTCGGACGTCGTAGTGTTAATCAGTGTAACCAGTATGTACTAGAATGAACCTAAGATGAATATGAATACTTTCAATAATATATGATCATTAGACTACCAACAATAATGTCGATGACGATGAACGACGACGAGTATGATGATGATGATGATGATGATGATGATGATGATGATGATGAAAACGTTCCCTCTTAGACCATGTGTTAATTTTTGCCCCAATGCAAATACTTTAAGACACCCTCTTTAGAGCACCGACCTTGATTACAAAATACATATTCATATACACTCATATAACAAAATATCCCCTTGTTTCAAAATGGCGATCATGACAATAACGAAAAAGAAAATGGCGGATATCATTAATTTGTTGTTCATTGACCTTTTGGTCGCTGTTACTAATTAGGTTGGTAGGATCAGAGACCATATACCGATAAATAATCTCCGAAAATTCACGTGGCCTTTTACTCAACCACAACCGCAGATCCCATTGGACCACCATTCCCAGGAGTGTGATCAATGCTCTGATCGGCTGGGTGGACAAGAGATGTGAAGCAGTTCAGAGATTAGACACACCTTGGGATGACCTTAACCTTGGACCTGTGACCTTTCATTTCAAGGGCGGTGGGGTCGTCTAGTGGTTAAAGCGTTGGTTTTTCACGCCGAAGACCCGGGTTCGATTCCCCACATGGGTACAATGTGTGAAGCCCATTTCTGGTGTCCCCCGCCCTGATGTTGCTGGAATATTGCTAAAAAGCGGTGTAAAACTAGACTCACTCACTCGCTCGCTTTCATTTCAACAGCATTTATGGTAGTCCACTGTTGACTGCTATGCAAAATGTTGACATAATCTAACCTGGCGATCACTTACTAAATTCATCTGTTTGATATTATCAAATTGTGATGTTCATTTCTGTTTTTCATGGGAATACATGAATCCAGCTCTTCCGATTCCGGTAGAATATCAACGCATGGTGAAACTCATTAATCTGAACTGTTTGTTGACCGCATTCGGCAACAATTCAGCCATATTGAAGAATCAACTTTCCAAAATGATCAATTTGGTGTGATGACATAATAACTCAACAAAGTCAACGATTCGGTTGGTTGTTGGTTGTTGTTTAACGCCACACTCAGCATTATTCCTGCTATATGGCGGCGGTCTGTAAATAATCGAGTCTGGACCAGACAATCCAGTGATCAACAGCATGAGCATCTATCTACGCAATTGGGATACGATGACATGTGTCAACCAAGTCAGCGAGCCTGACCATCCGATCCCGTTAGTCGCTTCTTACGATATATTTGGTAGGGAAAGAACAAATTCATGAAGAGTTGGCACTAACGATGAGAAACACACGGTTATACATCCTGCAAAATGTTTGTAGTGTATTTCTTAAGGAAAGGTGCATGGTTGTATAAACATCATTCCGGCTCTAATCGTCTGTTACACGAAACCCTGTGACAAAAACTTACTTCACATTCAAAACTGGAAGTTGAAATTTTATGGTTTTCGCTCATTTCAAGTGGCGGCCGCGATGAACTGGAATGAGCTACCAGCTCACCTTAGAACAAGCCCAACAGTCACATGTTTCAAAGCAAACATAAAGACATATATTTTCTCTATGTTTTACAAGTGACAACTAAATTCTATCTTGTCTGCTCTATGAGCATGCTTTCGGTGTGGATTTAGCGCAATACAAATGGACTAATTATTATTATTATTATTATTATGTATTACAGATTAAAGATAATATGCAGCAGAGAGGGTTCGGGTGATCCTGGCACAGTCAGGCTGGTAAGGCTCATCATCAGCTCAGGGCCCTTGCCCCCTCTACACGCAGCCCAGACAGCGAATGGGACTTCTCCCAGGAAACGCTGCCTAGTCGAACCCACCAAGAACTTTCCGGAGAATATGAAGGCTCCCCAACACTGCAGCCTTCTGCATTACCCAGAGTGTCAGAAGGGCTGTACTCCCGGTGGAGAACCCGGGCACTCTCCTGATCTGCGCCAAAGAGATCAGGAGGTACCAAACCAAGGGCACCGGGAACAATGGGGAGCCTGACGACAGTGTACTTGGGATGCAAGCGAGACATTTCAAAGGCGAGGTCCGCATATTTATCATGCTACTTTATTAACATAAATTGTAATTAAAACTTTACCTGACGACATGAAAACACAATTACATGTAGTCATGGATGAACGATTGAACGTTGTGTGGAATATGTCCTGTTAGGTCACGGCTATGTTGCGGCTATGCTATGCTATGCTATGCTATGCTATGCTATGTTGCGGCTATGTTGCGGCTATGCTATGCTATGCTATGCTATGCTATGCTATGCTATTTCAAGGTAATGGTTAGGGTTAGGTTACTGTTGTCACGCCTATGTTGCAGTTGCGTTATGTTAGCTCGTAGTCTGTCTCACAGTCCCTGAACCACATTATTTTCCCTACTGCCGAGCCCCCTCTGCAGTCCTAAAGCCTTAAATAAAGCAAGTCCAGATTTCCTCAGGTTCTGAATCTCTGGTCTCCCTGGGGCTCCTTTTCAATTTAAATGGGCTTGTTTGTTACTATCAAAATTATATATATTCAGAGACTAAGCATTAGCCTAGTTAGCTCGTTATTGCTGTTATTTCAATGTAATGGTTATGTTAGTGTTAGGTCACGGTTGTCACGGCTATGTTGCGGTTACGTTAGGTTAGCTATGTTATGTTATGTTATTTCAATGTCAGAAAAGTGTATTCTAGTTAAATTACGGCGTGTTATTTTAACCATAGCTGAAAGCTTTTAGTGAATGCCATAGGGCAGGCAAATCTAGGTATATAATAGATTCGAACCAACTATCACAGATTTAAGTCAAGTCTGCGGGACGAAAACCGCAGGGCCACCCATGCACCGCTTAATGATGGAAATATTTGTTTCTTATTCAACACCCGCACTTAGCAATATCCCAGCTGTATGAGCCGTTGCTCATTGTGTGAGCCGTTGCTCATAATATTAACCTTTGGGTTTTCTGGTCCTGACTCGATTGTCCGACTATATGACATTATTAGAATGTTGTCGAATGCAGTATATGAAAAAGAAATATAGCACCTATGCAAATATAGCACATCAGCCTTCCGGTTGGAATTGGCCTTCTTCGTGTAATATGAGCGGCATAATTTTCTGGTCCAGACAAAACTAAGTACAGGATGCGGCCATATTTCTGGAGCACTGATGACTGTTAACTATGCATTTGACGAGAGAAAAATCACATGGGTTTTTTCTATCATTGACAA